CTGGATCAAACCCGCAACCTAGGTATGTGCCCTGACCAAAAATCGAACCCACAACATTTTGGTGTGGGTGACGATGCTCCAACTGAGCCACACTGGCCAGGGTGCCATCTGTGCCTTTTGATTCAAGTGTTTAATCCATTTACATTTAATGAAACTACTGATAAGGTAAAATTTATGTCTGCCATTTTGCTATTTGTTTTCTATTTGCCTTTATCTCCCTTCATTTCTTCACTACTGCCTTCACTTTTGTTAAATAGTTATTTGAAGTATAACATTTTAGTCCCAAGTCTCTTTTACTGTATTGTTGGGAAACGCCCTGTCTGGTTTCAGGAATTGTAACCCCGCCGACAGGCTGGAGGGCCCGAAGGCTGGAAATAATCAGGAGGCCTTGGAGAAACAGGCTCCTGAGGAGATATAACCTGTCCCCCCTGGCAGGGATGTAGCTCCTGCCTCTCTGCTTTGCCATGGATAATCAGTGATCAAAGACAGGTAAGTTATCTTGAGCTGAGATATACAACCTAAGACAGATGCCAATCGAATATTGGCAGCAGACAAGAAACTGGGGGACACGGAGAAAGGGCAAAATGGCCTGCACCCTTCGGCTTGGCTTGGACGTGGCCAGAGTCCTCATTCCATCGGAAAGTAGTGTCCTCGTCTCTTGGCGGCTCCTTCCCCCTGAGTCAGTCCTAAACCAGATCTGGTGGTTCCCAGGGAAATCAGGCCGAAAAGTCAATTCTTTAAAGTGTGCTTTGTTTTTCCCTCAGAAGCTATGGCCAGCTCATGCTGGGAAGGAAATTTACATTATTCACAGACCCTAACCCTATACCCTTAGGCACTCTTATGTTTATTACACTCTCATGTTTAGTCATCTCTCTTGTTCACTAGTCTCCTCTTGGACCCATGTAAATAGGTATGTTCCTGCCATTTGTTTTCTTTCAATCACCCATTCTCTGTGAACATTAACATGGATGTAATGAGATAACCTGTACATTCCTGTTAACCTAGCCCCACTGATAACCTTTTCAATAAAAACCTTTGAACAAAGGGACTGAGGGCCTTCCCCACGCGAGGGATGTGCCACGTCCCCTCTCCTGGCAAACAGAGAAGTGTTTGCGATGACTTGTATTTATTCCCCCTCATCCGACAACCCCAGGACGGGCTCTGAGGGATTCAGAGCCCTGCTCCCATCTCAGCTGGGCCCCGGAAGGTTTCCCTCAGCTCCCAGGAGCAACCCAGGCGGTGCTCCCCTTGGCAGTGCCCCCCGTCTCACCACTGCGCAACGCAACACTATACATTTAAAGTTATTTTCTTAGTGATTACTGTGTATTGGTGTAGATCTCTTTGAGCTATCCTACTTAGAGTTTGCTGTATTTCTTGCATGCATTTTTAATGTCTTTAATCTAAGTGAGTAAGTTTTTGGCCAGTATTTTTTCCAATATTTTCTTCCCGTTTTCTAATAGGACCCCTGTTCTGTATATGTTGGTATGCATACATGTCTCTGGACAGGTCTCTGGAGCACTGTTTATTTTTCTTCTTCTCCTCCTCCTTCTCCTCTCCTTCCTCCTCCTCCTCCTTCTTTTTGTTCCATAGACTGGATGATCTCAATTGACTTCAGATTCACTGATTCCTTCTTTTGCCAGCTCAAACCTGCTTTTGAATACCTCTACTGAATTTTTCATTTGTATCATTGTACTTTTCAATGCCAAAAATTCTACTTGGCTCTATTCAACACACAACTTCTTTCTCTTTAATGATATTCTATCTTTGATGACACATCATTCTCAGTCTCATTTAGTTCTTTAAACACATTGTAAATAGCTGAGTTAAAGTGTTTCTGTGATAACTCCAATGCCTGGGCTTCCTCAGGTACCATTTCTATTGACTGCCTTTTCCCTCACAGGCCATACTTTCTTTTTTCCTTGCATATACCATAATTTGCATTGAAAATTGGAAAATTTTAACAATATAAGGGGCAACTTTGGAAATCAGATGCTCCCTCCTCTCCAGGAGTTATTGTCGTAATTCTAACTAATCCTGTAAAATGTGTATTCTTTGTTGTGTGTGGATACTGAAGTCTCTGCTCAGTTAACTTAGTGGTCATTTGATTTAATAGAGATTTCCTTAAATGCCTGGAACGAGTAAGCCTCCAAATCATTGCCAAGGGACTGTGTGTATGTGTGTGAGTGTGTGTGTGCATGCACAGGTGTGTGTGGGGCATGCCCTCATGCACAGGAAGGAGGTTACAGTTCTGCCTTAGTCTTCACTTCTAGTTTGTGAAGACCCTCCTGGGCAGACAGAGGTGAAAGCTGAGGGAATTCAGGACTCCTCTGGGCACACACGCAGCCCTATAGCGTGTGTGTGGCCTTCTGTTTTCTTAAGCAACATGTTGAAGGTTTTCAAAATCTATGTACATCTAAGTTATTAGAGAAAATCTGTTGGGTTATCTATTGGATGACATGCTGGGTTCAGCCAACGATGGCCACATCTGGCCTATTTTTGTATGGCTTTTGAGCTGAGAATGTTTTGTATATTTCCTTAATGTTGGGGAAAAAAAGAAGAAAATGCATCAAAGCCCCTTTATGGCTTGCAGAGCCTAGAATACTTACTATCTGACCCTTTACAGAAAGTTTGCCTACCTCTGGGTAACAGAATCATGGATTCAGACAGCCAGTGATATCCTAGGACAGTCAACACCAACAATAAAATGACAGAACCAAAGGGGACAAAAAGATTTGAAATCCTATTACTTTACTTTAATGCCCCAGGCATTTTAAATATTCATAAAATCACCTCATTTCAGAAGTCATTTCCTCTTAGTACAGAGTCTGTGTCCAGGATCAGAGACAAGTGTATCACTGGGTTTTCTTTACAGCACCCACATGCTGTGGGAACCACTCTGGTGCCTTGTCTTCTCCAGTAGAGTCCCCACCACATGCACAGCAGGGCTGGACCTACCCCACGTGACACAACCGCAACTGTTAAACACACTTTGTAGCTTCACTGCCCCGTGGGTCCTGTGGACCCCCACCCATCCAGCATTGCCACACATTCCAGGTCTGTGATAAACATCCACGGTGCTAGGAAAACATCGTCTCAGCTGCAAGTATGCCAGCCCCTGCTCCAGCATACCACAGGGCAGAGGCACTTGAATGTTCTGATTAAAACTGAGTTTCTAAATAGCACAGGAGTTAAGTGTGAGGAAAGGGGCTTTTCTCTCAATAATTAGTAACCTTAATGCATATTTAGCAGATTGACAAATTCCTGTCTGTTTACACTTGTTGCCAAGGCTTCACAAACTGTTTAAGCAGATGAAGGCAGGTTTGACTAGAAGCAAAGAAAGAACCTGCCTAGACGGCACTTGCTTGTAGCATGAATACACGTGTCAACGCCTGGACATTATTAAAGAAATGCCTATTCTTCCAAAAGGAATTTTTTAAAAGCCATACGCATTGATTCTTCCAAGGTAATAATCATATGTTTGTCCTTCATTCTCATGGCACTACAAAGCACACTGCTGCCTGAGGTTCTGATTCCATCTTCGGGGGTGGCGGGGAGGGGGGCAGTGTGGACACCAACACGTAGAGGCTTCCCAGTGGTTCCAGCACTTAGCCAGCTTTGGGAACCTTGGTACTGTAGGTTCCTGAGTCTTCCCAGTCTCACTTGTCTGCACTAAAGCCTGTGAGGTAGTCCCGGGTCAGGCAAAAATCTCTTCCGTGAGACAAGGAACTAAGGCACAGAGAGGTTACGGCTCATCTGACCCTGAGCAGCCAATGACAGAGCCAAGACTGGAGTGGACATCTCCAATGAATAACACCTCCTCCCCAGCAACTGGCAACATGAACACGGACACACATAGGAAGACCGATTGGGCAGCAAGGCAAGACCATCTGTGCAAGGAGAGCACGGAAGGGCACAGAAGAGTTCTGAGCCAATCACCCCTGATCAGAAATAAACACATAAAATTGATATTTATTGAAAAGACATGAGGAATGAGGTATCACTTTCTTTTTAGAACCTCACTTTCCTCACAGATATGCTATTGACTCGGCTTTGTTAGAAAATCTGTCAAGACCCTAACATCTGAATTCTTAGCTCTATCACTGTAGCAGCTGGAAAACCCTCAAACATTCCTGTAATTGACTTAGGTCTCAAAGATCATTACACATCTGTGTTCATGTGGGTTAGCGCTACAAAAACCTCCATGCTTTCCCCATTACCTCCCCACACAGACGTCCTAAGGACCCAGTATCCAACACTTTCTAAAGCGGTGTGCACCTGGCCATGGTCTGCTAAGTCCCCAAATGCCAACCCAGCAACTGCGCGGGCCTCCAGGAGTGACTTTAACCACGGACAGTTTGACTGTGCTCAGCACAACGTCATGACCTGTACTGTGGGTCACGAGGACTTTCCTTTGTAATCCCAAATCCCCACCCATGCAAGCCAACCCAGCTGGGCCTTTCTCCACTTCACTGGACATCACACCTTCACATCCTATACACACATGTAAGCTCCCACATCTCATCATATTTTAGGAACTGCTGCCTTTTCTTCTCTTTTTTGAAAACAACTCCCCGACTGCAGAACTGCTTTTTTTGTGTGCAAGTAGAATGCCTAACGGAGTACACATATACATGAAGGACGCACACAGCACGTTCCAAGGAGGGGTGCCTTGTCGATGGCTCTGCTGGGATCCCATCACTCTCTAAGAAGGGCCCGTTCACTCAGCTCATTGAACACAAATGGATCTCGTTCTTCCCATTGCTAGTGACATGGCCTCCTGAAAAGTCTGCAGAATACTACTCCTCGATCCAGTAAGGGAAAACCACACCTGACAGGACACATCTGTTGACCTACAAGATGCTGTGTGAAACTCTAAAACCACGTCTTTCTTGTTTTTGGGAGACTCTCATTCAGGCGAGACAGACACTCACTGAGAGCCTCTCCCTGAGACAGACTCCTCACTGGAACAAAACCCGCCTCTCCAGCTCCCACAGAAGGTGCTTGGGGAGAATGCTGTGTTGGGGGCAGTGCCCCCTGGAGGGGAGGGGAGTTCTACCTTCTTCTTACCCCCAGAAGGGTTTTCACAAAAGTGAAAACCAAAAAAGAGTGAACAGCAGGGAACTTTGCAAAAGTGCATGAAGAATTCTGGTTAAAACAGATAACAGATCCACCATATTTCAAGGACACCCAACCATTAAGTAAAGCAAGACATAATTTTTTTTCCTCTCTCATGCTTATTTGATGCTTACGAGTTTGTGGCCAACTTGCTGCTCAGCTTCTAAAACATGCAGAGAGCAGACTGAGAACAGTGTTTGGTGTGTTGGTGCCCAGCCCACACCAACCCTGACAGGCAACCTACCCAGTGCCATCAGGAACAGGATGGGGAGAACACCCTGGCCTGCGAGGTGGCACACAGCACGAAACTGCGGGCTGCCGGTGCATGCCTGTCCAGATTTCACAGGCAGAGTGTCATGGGGGAATGAGCAGGGACACATGGCAAGCTCCCAAATGCTCTAGCATCCAATCCCCGTGCAGACAGAGGTTGCAGCTGGGCACAGAGCTAAGGCACGAAGGCTGCAGCAGATGGAGACACCACGCTGAGGTCCAGTGGTCCCCGGGTAGAAGAGGCGCTGCTTACAACACTGCCTTGGGATAGAAATCCAACTCTTTAAAGGATGAAAACAGAAAACAACCAAATCCCTGCCTTTTCCCCTTAGAAGGACATTCTGCTCTCCTCTTGGGGAAATTTGCTGCAGTCTTCAAATCTCAACAGCAGTGCAGAGAGCTCCACCCGAGAGCCCCTTGGGGAGTCACCTTCACTCTCACGCTGTCTCCTCCATCGCACCTTTGTGAGCTGCCTTTTTCTCAGTTTGGCTTCACGTGGAGCAATCGGATGTCTCTCCTTCCCCTGGAGCCGGACCCCACGCTTCTCCCTCATCACAGCCTGATGAACGCCGCCGGCTGGCTCTGCTGTGGCTCAGCGTCAGGGGGCGGGAAGACGCTGGATATGGCTATGTCCACGATACCCTGGCACAGTTCTGCATAGAGCTTCCTGAAACATGTTTTAAAAAAATATCATTGAGGAAGTTCATCAAAGTGCAAACAAGGAACCAAAGTTTTTTTCACCAAGATCTTCTGAGAAATTCCATCCTATGACCATATTTGTACAACTGGCTTCCACTGTCTGTACAAATACCATAGGAGGCCCTGTGGGAAGAGGTAGCACCCCCTCACCACATGTTTCTGGAAGGCCTCCCAGGGGAACGGAGAACTGCCCTGACATGAACTGCAGGGCCAATGGGCAATTCCAAGAGACCACCTTAGTGTCTGCAGTAGGGACGCACGGAGGGGCGGGCCTCCCCATGGAAAGCACTCACTCTGTGTGGTTGAGGGGACTTTAGGAGAGACTCCCTATGAGTGACAGCTAAGATGAGCCCACGGGAATGAATGAAGTCAGAGAGTGGAGGACAGGGCAGAGGATGAAGGAGACAAAGGCAGACACAAAGATAACAAAGGAGGGAGGACGGGGAGAGAAAGATAGTGAGCTGTGGAGGGGAGAACAGGGAAGCACGAGGAAAAGAGAAGCATGAAGGGGAGAAAGCCAGGCATTTGGGGAAGTGGATCGGTGAAGGCTGAGGTCGCAGACAAGGCACTGGCCCAGCCACATAGGACCCGGAGGCCAGGTCCCGGGGTCTGGACTTTATCCAGACAAGGGAGGCACCAAAGCAGAAAGGCTAAGGAGGAAAACTTCAAAGAGCAACACAGCCCTGCACCTCCCGCTGCCACTTTTCCCTGTAGGTCTTCTGCCTGTTCCCTAGGGCAGCTCACGAGGCCCCAGACGGCCCCGCAGCACGGCCTCTAATGCAGGGTAAAACCAGACTGTGGTCCAGAGAGAAAACCCACATCTAGACTGTGCTCTGGGCCACACACCTGACGTGCTCAAGACACGTTTGGAATCCAGGCGGCTAGAGCCAAGGGCGGTGCCCAGGTCGCCCTGGTCTAGAAAAACAGAAGTTTTATTGTCCTGCATTCCAATCTCCACCAGGCAGAAAATCCACACAGTCTGCTTCCCACCTTCCCAATGCAATGGCAGATCCCTGCTGTCCCCCTCCCCATCACAGGACCTTCTCCCCCACCCTAGTCACCCCCTCAGTCGCTTTTTACTGCCCTGAGGCTGATGCTTCTATGTTCCAAGCCACTCAGCCTCCCACTCATACTGGACACTGGCAGGAGGCCTGTGAGGCCGTGTTGGTGGTGACTAAAATTGGGACTTGGCACATCGACTGCTGCTTGCCTCTCAGTGTGGCCCAGGTCCCTTGTGGCTTTCCAGGCCACTTCACTCTAAGTCCCCCCACCACGTCCAGAAGTCCTCCCCTTCCAAAATCATATACCTAAAACAGAATTGTTTATTTTCTATTACAGACGTGTACCAATATGCTTCATGCAGTAACGAATCAGGCAGTGTCCGCCTGTCTCCTCCAGCGGACCTCCTTGAGGACGCTCATCTTTATGTGGCTGTCTCCTAAGTTTCTCCAGGAGGTGGACAGGGAGAAAATGATTGATGTAGAGCTCAGAAGAATGAGCAGGCTTTAAGGGCCAAGTCCAAACGACTTTCCCTTAGGTGTAAGGCCTTCCACGGTGCAGTCCTGGCTCACCTGATCCTTCGTCGCTCCTCACGGCTCCACACCGACACCACGTGGCAGCCAGGCTTCCCCAGGAGGAGCAGGAGCTCCCCGAGGGCGGGCAGGTTCTGCTCACCTGCGCCCCTCACGGAGCCTGGCAATGAGCAAGGTCCCACTGAAGGCTGTGTCCCTGTCCTGAAAGCTCTCTCTCCTCCCCCAGGCACCTGTCCCGCTCCTCTCACGTCCCAGCTCCAGCTCCACTGCATCTCCGATGCCTCTCAGACCAGTTGCTGCCCAAGGAGCTCTAACTTTCTTGGTCATCACTATTCCCTCCACTCCAGGAGCCTGCTCACTGCTTGTCACCCAAGAGAGTCTCCTCTGGACTACGAGCTTTGTTTGAAACTCTCACAGCAACAACCACCGATCTAAGTTGTGTCACTGCTCAACACGCACAGGGGGAACGGGGAAGGAAGTGCCTCAGCAAAGCCCCTGCCAGAGGGCCCACCCCCAGGGACTCCTGTCCTGTCACTTCCTCCTTGGCAGCAGTCCAGGGTTAGGCAAGTGCACCATCCTGTTGAGACAGGTCATTCCAACTGTGGAACCAACTTCCACTCATTACAACCCAGTGGTGTTAGGCTTACTGAGCACAAGCAGGGGCGCCGTTGACCTCAATGAGCCAGACCTTCAGCTCCTCGTCCACCATAAAGTCGAAGCCAAACAGCTGGAAGCTCTGGTAAGGGAGGTGCCGGGTGCTGATGGCGGGCTCCACGCTCATGAGGCAGCTCCTGAGGGCAGAGGGGAGAGCTGGCTGAGAGGAGGGTGCGAGGCAGGAGGAGCAGACGAGGTGGACCTGGATGACTGCAATCCAGTGTGTGGACATAAATCACCCTTGATTTAATTCTCTCTTTTAAAGTTATTACTAGTAGATCATTCAAGACAATGCTCCTCATCAAGCAGCTTGTTAGAAGACTCTGCCACCAACCATGTCTTCACAAATAGAGGTTGCTGTCCCAGCTCAGTGCTGTCACTGTGACCCCTGTAAAAGTGGGTCCCCCCGACAGGATGGCTGCTGCCACATTTTGTTTGTCATAAATAAAATAGTTCCATGTACTTTTTCCATATAAAAGAAGTGGATCACTAATCAGTGAGGAGCAGAATTTGCACAAAGAATATTGGCCTCATTCATTTCTTTTGCTTATTCCATTTCTATTGCCAAATTGTTACTAATCAAAAGATTGAAGAGCTTCATGTATTGAAACTAAGTGTTGAAACAGAATAATTATCAACATCTACTATTGTTTGAAAAAATGGAAAAACACAGAAAAATTGAAAATGCAATACATAAAAATTTCAAGAACAAAATATAAAAGTTGAAAGTGAATCTCAGAAACATAGTGATTAAGCAAGTGAGGTCAGAGTTTCAGGCTGCTGCTGCCAGAATGTTGGACTGCGTTTTAACCTCTTCATGCCAAGCTTTGATTTCCATAAAGTCAGGGGTAAAATAATACCTACTCTTGGTGCTCAGATGGTTCAATGAGGTACTTACTTAAGGAACCTATGAGTAACAAATCACAGTTCTCTAGTACAGCCGTCCCACAATACTTAGGCCATTTCTGTTTTATGAAAATCTTTCCCCAATGAATGTTGGGGAAAATACCTATCTTAGTAATAAAATACGTTATGGTGACTCTAAGATTACTAGAGATAGCTGTCCTTCTATTCAACTGTACTGTTAGAAGGAAAAATGTGCAGGCTTCCATGTGACTAACTCTAGGATGTGTCCGTGTGGGTAGGTTTCAATGCATGAGTTTAAAGACCTGCAGCATCTGTGAACATGGGCCAGGGTCTTGCCCTTCCAAGCTCTTTCCACCACTCCCCTCTCTCCAAATATCAGTTTCCTTTTATGTATTTTTAATTTTTTTTTACTCTACACCTGAGGATATGTTTATTGATTTTAGATAGAAAGGAAGGGAGGGAAGGAGGAGAAGAGAGAGAGAGAGAGAGAGAGAGAGAGAGACATCAATGTGAGCAAGAAACATCCATCCATTGGTTGCCTGCTGTACACACCCAGACCAGGGATCAAACCGTAACCTAGGTGTGTGTCCTGCCCAGAGATGGAACCCACAACCCTTTGGTGCATGAGACAATGTTCCAACCAACTGAGTCATCCAGGCAGGGCTACTTTTATTTATTTATTTTTCCCCAAAAGGAGAATATTTCTATATGTATGTTTAAACCTTTAAAAATAATTTTGGAGCCCTGACCGGTGTGGCTCAGTTGGTTGGGCATCATCCTGCAAAATGAAAGGTCGCCGATTCAACTCCTGGGTAGGGCACATGGGCCTGGGTTGCGGGTTCAGTCTCTGGTCGGGCATGTAAAACAGGCAACGGATCGATGTCTCTCCCTCACATTGATGTTTCTCTCCTCTCTCTCTCCCTCTCTTCCCTTCTCTCTAAAAATAAATAAATAAAACCTTTAAAATAATAATAATAATAATAATAATAATTTTGGACAGTTAGCCATTTAAAGACCAATTGAAATAGGAATTTCTTCTTCCATTCATCTTTAACCTGCACTGGCAAGCCATGTATCACATTTTTTTCCCCTATATCCTATCCCTATGCTATACAATACTTAACTTTTGTTTTAATTAAAACATTATAATTAAGAAAAAATATTTAATAGATGCTCAGGGTAAAGAAAAAGAGAGAGAGAGAGGGGGGAGAAAAAGTGGGGAAAAAAATCCAAAAATACTGGAGGACAAAAGTAAAAGGAACATTATGCTCCAGCACAAAGAGGAAAAACTGAGAGCCAGAACCAAACTGAAACTAAATATTACTTTTTATCTGATGGAAGCTCAAGATTAATAATTCACTTTAAAAACAGTTTTTTCATCATCAGAGCGTTTATACAGGAATCTTTGTTCAGGTGGAGTGGGCAGTTCGGGCAGGTAGTGGGGTAAATGCCTTGGGGGCGGTGAGAGAGCCCCAGGCACCAAAGTACCAACACTCTCTGCAGAGAATGGGGGTGGGGAGGGTTTTGCAGCAAATATCCAACAAGTGCTTTGCCTGGAATAGGAATTCTTTCTTCAGCATACTTGATTTATTTGGTATCAGAATCCTAATCATTTATAATCCCTGAAGAAATGGAACTCAGAGCGTTGTAAATATTCTGCTGGCCTCTATGTAAAAGTATTTAAGGAAAAAGACTCAGCCTTCATGACAGGGTGGTAATGGCAGCAGATAAACAGACCAGTAAGACAGATGGAGAGCCCAGGAACAGAGTCTCACATAAACGGCCACCTGATTTGTAGCAAAGGCACCTGAAGTGCAGCGGGGAAAGGACAGCCTTATGTACAAGTGGCCCCAAGTCAATGAGAAATCCTTGTGGAAAACATGAAACCTGACACATAACAATGCAGATACATTACAGGTCTAAAACATGAGATAAAACCCAAAGTTCCATCAATTGCAGAGGGATAAACTGTGGAATATTCACACAATAGAATATTATATAGCAATAAAAAAGGATAAACTGCTGCTATGTGCAACAATATGGATGAACCCCATAAACATAATATTTTTAAAAAGTTTAACACAAAACAGGAAATAAAGTATGATTTCCTTTACATAAAGTTTAAGAACAAGCAACGGAATCTATAGTGAAAAAGGTCAAAAAAGTAGCTGTCCTTGTTAGGGAATACATATTCTAAAGTGGTTCAAGGGAGTCTTTGGGGTGCTCTAACTGCTTTATATGCTGATTTGTGCTATGATTAGGTAAGTATATGCATCGTTAGAGTTTCACTAGGTTGTACATTTAAGATCTGTGGACTTTACTACATGCATGTTATATACCTCAGTTTTTAAAAAATCTCAACTGGATTTAGCAAGCTGTAATATATGAATAATAACATTAAAAATTATTTCCAAGCATATTAAGAAAGATGACTAGGAGACAAAACAGACAATAAGTAACCAACTATAAGTCAGAAGTTGGCAAAATTATCTTACATAGGGCCAGAGAATAATTATTTTAGGTTTAGCAAATATACATAGTCTCTGTTGGATATTCTGCTTTTATTTTACAACTTTTTAAAATGTAAAAACCATTTTTAGTTTATAGTCATACAAAAACAGTCTACAGGCCAGACTTGGCCCACAGGTAATCCAGATTTTGGAGTTGTCAGAACAATGATATCAAAGAATTGTCATTACTGTGTTCAAGAAAATATAAGACAAGTGGGAGAATTTCAAAAGAGAACAGTCATCTAAAAATAAGAGTAAATGGAAATTTTTGAGCTGAAAAGTATGACTAAAATGAAGCACTTAATAGATGAGTTTAATAGTAGTTTTAACAACTTTTCACTTTATAGTTTTTAAACTTTTAAAACAGGTTTTAATAACTGAAGAAAGAGATAAAATGATACACAAAAACCATAGGAGAAATGTGACACAGTGTAAAGGATAAATATCCATGTAGCTGTAGATGCAGAAGGAAAGGAAAACAGGACAAAAGCCATAATTAAAAAGATAATGACCATGAACATTCCAAAAACAGATGAAAGATACCAAGGCACAGATTCAAGAAGCACTAGGAAAACTGTGTAGGAATGTGTACAAAGAAAACTACACATATCTCATAGTAAAATTTATAAAATCAACAAAAATGAATCTTAAAAACAGAGAAAAGAATCATCAAGAGCAATGCTAAGATTTCAGCTGACATCTGAACAGGAAAGGCGAAAGCCAGAAAACAGTGGTATGCCACCTTCGAAGTGCTAAAAAATATTAACTGCTGGTCTAGAAATCTGTTTCCAGAGCAAGTATCTTTTAAAAATGAAGACAAAATAAATATACCAGATAAATAAAAACTGAGATTATTCATCATCAGCAGACCTTACTTTATTACAAAGCACTAAAAATGAGTTTTTTAAGAGTAAGAAAAATGATCCTAAATAAAAGCAAGAATATGCATGCAAGAAAGGTAAGCGACATGAAGGGTTAAAAATGTATGGAGAAATAAAAGTGAATTTGAACTGTACATGCTAATAAAAATGTCTTGTGAGTTTAAAATACATGGAGCAGTAGTTTCTGGCCTCCTCCTGGGTTCCTGCCGGCCTATTCCCTGGAGATAACCGCTTTTTTGAATTTTGTGTTTATCACTCCTTTGCCTTTACTTTTACTGCAATTGTAACTTCCTTTAAATGAAGTATTACTAAGCTTTGCTTGTTTTTCAATTTATATGAATAGAATCAAATGTATGCATCTTGTATACAACTTTTATTTGTTTACTTTTTTGCTTCACAATATGTTTGTATAAGTCCAGTGAAAACACTCTTCAGGAATAAGGTGAAATAAAGACATTTTCAGATGATGGAAAATTAAGAGGACTTATCACAAGCAGAACTGCTCTTAAAAAAAAAAAGAAAGAAAGAAAGAAAGAAATGATGGAGTCTGAAGGGAAACAATACCAGAGAGAGATCTGGAACTGCAGGACTAAAGGAAGAGCAAAAGAAAATGGCAAATATCAGGGTAAGACAAAAATATTTTTTTCTTATTTTATATTTAAATGCATTTCTTGTAGACAGCATACAGGTTAGCCTTGTATTTTTTAAATCCAACTTGATTATCTACATTAAAAAATGTATAGAACAGTTGATACCAAAAATTTTAATATTATGTGGTAGTGATTGCAGTGTATGAGGAGGTAATACACATAGAAACTGTCAAGAGGAGTCAAGTGAACTATAAGTTTATAAGATTTTATGGGAAGTGGTGAATTATTATGTCTAAGAAGACTGTGAAATATTACATACATATATTTTTTAATCCTTAGAATCACTCCTAATATTAGATAGATAGATATAGATAAAGCCAAATACTCAACAGGAAAATTAAAATGGAACTGTAAAAATTCAAGTAACTCAAAAGATATCAGGAAATGGAGACATGAAAGCAAATAAGAACAAAAAAAGAGGGAATAGACCAAATAATAAAATAGTAGATATAAATCCAATACTTACATTAAATTTAAATGATATAAACACACTAATTAAAAGACAGAGATTATCATATTGGATTCAAAACAAAACAAAACCAAACCTGACTCTATGTTGTCTACTAGACTCCACTAGAATAGAACGGAATTAAAAGGATGGAAAGAAAATACTACTAATCAAAAGAAAGCTGGAGTGGCTATATTAATATTAAACAATCAATTTCAAAATAAGAAATATTACCATAGATAAAGACAGATGATAAAGTGGTCAATTTCCCAAAAAAGAAACAACAATTCTAAATATATATGCACCTAACACTAGATCTTCAAATATATGAAACAAAAACTGATAAAACTAAAAAGAGACATAGAGAAATCCAAATTGTACTTGGGAGACTTCTTAATAATGAACAAGTAGAACAGAAAATCAGCAAAGATATAAAAGACTTTAACAACACGAGCAACCACCTTCACCAAATTCACATTTATAGCACATTCTGCCTAGGTAGAGCAGAGTAAATGTTATTCTTAGTGAACATGGAACATTCATGAAGGTAGACCATATTCTGAGACATAAAACAAACTAAGAAATTTTGAAGAAACAAAAGAATACAAACTATCTTCTCTGACTCTAATGGGATTAAAGTAGAAATCAGTAACAGAAAGCTATCTGGAAAAATCCTCTAATATGTGAAAATTGAGCAAAAATTTCTAATAACACACAAGTCAAATATGAAGTCACAAGAGAAACCAGATAGTATTTTAATACAATGAAAATAAAAACACGACATAGCAAACTCTGGAGGAGGTTGAGTTCTTAGAAGGAAACTGACATTCAGTGCTTATAGTTAAAAAAAATGAAGTCCCTTAAATCAATAATTTAACCTTTCACAAGGAAAATAGAAAAAGAGCAAATTAAACACCATGTAAAAACAGAAAGGAGGAAATTATAAATAGCATAAATCAAAGAAATAAAAAGCAAAAACAGAGAAAATCAATCAAGCCAAAAGCTGACATTTTTAAAAGATTAATTAAATTGATAAACCCTTAACCAATCCATCCAAGAAAAATAGACAAGATAAAAATTACCAATATAAGGAATGAAAGCAATGACATCGTTAGAGATCCTACAAACATCAAAAGGATGACTAAAAAATTACAAATAATTTTTGTCTTTAAATTAGACAACGTAAATGGAATAATTCCTTGAAAGGCACAAACTCCCAAAGCTTCTTCAAGACACATATAACCAAAAAGATGTAATTCAATTACCTTATAATATGCTTGATTTGTAGTAAGATACTGTTCTCCAGGGTAATGTTCAAAGCACTTGTCAGGTACTGATTGAACTCCTCAAAGAACATTTCATTCCCTTCTTCATACTTTCCATAGTTCTTTGAATATTCCTTTTGAATGCAGTGATTGGTCAAATGGCAGGTTTTGTCTTGGAAATTATCAACGTGATACGGCTCTGACGCAGTGCGCAGCACACCCTCTCGATAGAGGTAGATGTTATACTGGTGATCCACCAAGACCCAGCTTCTGCAAGTCAACAAAAGCAGTTTTATGGAAGTCCTGCAAAGTTCCTACATATCAGAGATATATATATCATCCTCACATCTTGATTCTTGGCAGGAGGTAGAGGAAGAAGGTAGGTTCTAAAAGTATGCAAGGCAAGCCACAACAATTAGCCAAGAAAGTGAACCACCACTGAAATGATCAAGTAAAACATTTCACCACCAGTGACAAGGAGACTTTGATCCACTGAACAAGATATAGCACTTTGAAGACATTTGATGGATTTGTTTTAAAGGTTAATCTCTAAAACCTTCATTTGCCATGTTTGGTGGTTTTAAGTAATTTTAAGAGAAAGGCTGTCCGTCATGAAGCTGGTCTGACATAGAATAGCTGACCTGACATAAAGGCAGCAGAGACCAAGTCCTTGCTGAGGAGCCAACAGCAAGGCCCAGAGCAGGCTGGGCCAAGGGCCGTTCAGCTCTGGAAGGCACCACACCTCCTCTCCTTGCCAGGCCCTTTGCTCAGAAAGTTAAAGTCCAAAAACCCAAGGTGTGTTTATGAAATCCTTAAAAAGTGAGACACAAATAAGGTCAGGACACGTTATTTGGGTCACGTGATCTGTTGTGCCTGAATTATGTATTCTGTGTATATCTCTCTTTCTTCCACAAGTAAGGAAGGCCCACATGTTTGTGCCCTTCTTTTTGGATCCACAAGTCATTTTCATTAAAGAGAATAGTTAAAAAGAAAAGAGAAGAAAAGAAAAAAGAAAAAATATTGAAAGAAAAATAGAGAATTTAGGTACGGACGCTCAGTTCCATTCAGCTGTGCTCAATTTTGGTAACACACTAAACACAGTAAAACACTTCCTCACATTCTACGTCACCCTCCTCAGCATACAACACACCATTGCACTTTTTTTGGATTAGTAAAAGAAATGGACTTGGATGCATTACCGAATGTCGAACTTGCGATGACCGGGCTCCAGGAGCAGAGGGCGCTCGAGGTATTTCTGAATCACGTGCACCTGGCCCTGGTTGTCTATGAAATCCAGAAGTTCTGCAGCATCGGATGAGATGAGGATGCCTTCACCTAACAGGGCAAAAATCAAAGTGAAAATTAGTGCAGTTCAGCCCAAGAGGAAACACTTTCCACAAATCCTGAGAGGAAACACCAACAGCAGGAGAGGATAACACAGACAGGAGGCTCTTCCTGGCCTGCGCGCTCTTCTTTCTCCACCTTCTCTCTTCCAATCACTCACTCTCCCTCCACCCGCCAAAGCACCAGGGCCACTCAACTTTGTCTCCATATAGGGTTGCAAACATTGTCTTGGCAAGCTCCGACCATAGTTTCATTTTTAAAGACACTCTATATGTCTATGCACACTAAATAAATGCCACTCTCCTGTTGATCACTGGCTACCACGATAAACATGATGTATGTACTGCTTGTGACCACTTTTTACTCTGTATCTTATGGAAATACCAGGAAGATTAGGGCATAGATGCAAATGAAAAGTAGATACCCTGAAGCGTTGTGACAGAAAAAAGATTGGCTACATTTCAAGTGTCCATCAACACTAAATAATAACATTAACAGCTTCACCAAGATATATTTTACATGCCAAAAAAATCCAGGCTTTTTAAGTGTACAATTCAATGGCTTTAGTATACTCCAGCAACCATCACTACAATCTCATTTTAGAACATTTTCATCACCTCCAAAAACACCCCGTATCCATTAGCGGTTGCTCCCCGCTCCTTCCTTACTCTAGCCCCTGTCAAACAGTATGGGTTTGCCGGTTCTAGATGTTTCATATAAATGGAATCACCCAGCATGTGGCCTTTTTGTGTCTGGCTTCTTTCACCTAGCATTATATTTTCAAAGTTCACCTGTGTTGTAGCGTTTGTCAGCGCTTCATTCCTCTCTATGACATAATAATATTCCATTGTATGGATATATCACATTTTGCTCAACCACTCATCAATTAACTGATGGATATTTAGGCTATTTCCATTTGTTGTTTGGCTCTTATGAGTAATGCTGGTATGAAAATTTGCACGGAAGTTTTGTGTGCACTTATGTTTTCAATTCTTTGGGGAATATACCTAGGAGTGGAATAATATGGTAACTCTATGTTTAACTTTTTGAGAGACTATCAAACTGCTTTGCAAAATTGATGCACCATTTTACATTCTCCCACTATATGAGAGTTCCAGTTTTTCACATTCTTCTCAACACTTGCTATTATCTGACTTCGGAATTATAGCCATCTTAGTGGGTGTGAAGTGGTATCTCATTGTGACTGATTTGTATTTTCCTAATAACTAATAATGTTGAGCATATTTTCATGTGCTTATTGGCTGTTTTATTTGTATGCCTCCTTTGGAGAAATTTCTATTCAGATTCTTTGCTCGCTTCTTAGTTGGGTTATTTGTCTTTTTATTTTGAGTTATAAGAGTTCTTTATACATTCTGGATGTAGGTGCCTTATAAGAGATATGACTTGCCAGCATCTTCTCCTATTCTGAACAAGTCCATTCTAAACATGGTTCCCTCATGTTGCTCTTTTAAAGTCACAACTGCCTCCCTTCTCACACCATCTTTCTGACAACTACTCATCTGTTCTCCATTTCTATAGTTTTATCATTCTAGAAATGTCATACAAATAGAATTATATGGTAGGTGATCTTTGGGAATCTTTTTTTTTTCCACACAGCATAATTCCCTGGAGATTCATCCACGTTGCTGCTTTTAGCCATAGTTCACTCCCTTTTATTGCCAAGTAGTATTCTGTGGTATCAATTCATCAAGGTTTGCTTAATCATTCATCTTTCGAAGGAATTTGAGTTGTTTCCAGTTTGGGGCCATTATGAATAAAGCTGCTGTGAATCATCACAAACAAGTTTTGTGTGGACATGTTTTCATTTCTCTAGCACAAGTGTCCAAAAGTGTGCAACTGGATCTGGAGCTTACAGGGAAAGACCTCGCTGGAGACGTACATGTATGGAATTGTATAAGTCATTGTTATGTAGATAAATATTTAAGACTATATAACTAGGTGTGCTATCTACCCTCAAGGATTCAGATTAGAAGAGTCACTCATTAAATACATCACTAGCCCTGGATGGGTAATTCAGTTGGTTAGAGCATGATTCCCATATGCCAAAGTTGCATGTTCAATCCCTGGTCAGGGCACATATAAGAATCAACCAATGAATGCATAAATAAGTGGAATAATAAATTGACGTTTCTTTCTCTTTCTCTCCCTTCCTCTCTCTCTTTAAAATCAATAAAAATAAGTATATCATTAAAAGGTAGCATACAATTGCACAAAGCACTGGGAACCTACAGAGACAGTAGAAAAGGACGACAATGCCAACTCACCTTTGGCACCGGCGGATGACTTTGCAATCCAAACATTACCCTCTCCATCTTCCTTCTTTTTGTTATAAGAAGCAAGAAAGAATTCCCTTTCGTCTGTCCTTGAGTTAGTAATTGGTGGGTGGATTCCATTCTGTGCGGGAGCAGCTGGGGTCTTGAGGTTAGTGGGATAAATCACATAGGACTCGGGGAACCATGTGCAGGATTCAGCCAGTTCTGGGCTTGTCTTGATTAGCCTGGAAGATGACAGAGAGTCAATCTCCCTTCTTAGCACTCTGTCCCTCTATTCAGAAAAGCCAGTGCTACCTCCAGAGCTTGTCAAGGAGGCAGGGTATAACCAGGGGCCAGGGGCTGGCCTCCTTCTGATACCAGTATTTGCTCTTGGCCTCCCTGGGCTGACCCATAATGCGCTATTGGGCGCACATAGCTATATATGCAACCTTAAATGCGTGTCAGCTGGTTCAAAAGGAGATCCAATGTCCAGAACCTAGCTCTTTCCAAAATGCATCTCCGAGGAAACTTAACTTGAAATAGCCTTGAGCCAACACCTTCCTGGCTTCAAGACGGACTATAGGAGGAATCTTTCTAATGGGACACAGGACTCTAGTAGTCACGATTAATGTATCTCCTGCCCCCTCCCAAATAACATGACACAACAGAAGATAAAGTCAGTCTCTAGGCAAGGCACTTAATAAACAGCAGGGCTTACAAAGTGCTTCCCACCACATCGACTCTCCAGTTGGTCCCTGGATGGGGAGGCACCAGCATCACAGTTCATACATCAGGCACTCGGTCACAGAGAAGTATGTATGTTCCCCAACACCACACAGGTAGTAAGACACAGGCAGGATATAAGCCCCTAAATCCCAAGTCCTAACTCTCCACTGACCCTCGCTGCCTAAGAATCACAGCCAGGGAGGAACCAAAGACATTCACAGGCCTGCCCTAAGCTGGGCTCTCTCTTCTACAGACTGTTAATGTTAAGCCTGCATTAAAGTCCATCTGCAAAACCCAGGCTATAAGCAAATGGCAGTAATAATGAAAAGCAATTTAAAATTGAGATTGAAAATAAAGCTATTTTAAAGTTAAAGACAACAGGATTTGTGTTACTTGAACTCAAAGGAACAAATACATTTTAAATTCACTGGATGTTCAACTGTATCTCCATTGTCCAATAGGGTGGCCATTAGCCACGTGTGGCTTTTGAGCACTTGAAATGTGGCCAATATGACCCAGGAACTGAATTTTAAATTTAGTTTAGTGTTAATTTAAAAATTAAAGCATTATGAAATATTTGTCCATTAAGCACAACTTCATTGTTTTGGTAGGAGGACATTTCACTTTAACCACTGCAGGACCTAAGACATTTTTGCTGTGTCGCAGTGTGCATGTCAGGCGCATTTGTTGTTTGCAGTATTGCACATAAACACATCACTGTTCCACTCGGGGACAATAGATTGATTCAGTCCATGTGGATTTCTTGCATGCACTTATAAAACATTATAATATGTTTATTATGTGGACAGCATGAGTTACAGTGATAGCTAGTTATAGCATAGTTGGTAAGTAAAGTGAAATCTAATTATTTTTCTAGTTAAAAAATACATACAGAACATGTATAAAGGACCCATGGACAAGGACAATAGGGGGAGGGTAAACCATGGGGGGATGGGACAGGGGAGAGCAATGGGGGAAAAATGGGGACAACTGTAATTGAACAGCAATAAAAAAAGTTTTTTAAATGCATAGGGAAAAATTTTCAAATTTAAAATAAAGGCATACTGCTGATGCAGCAGAACTGATTAGGGACACAGAAGCTAGAACTACAGTTAGAACAGTAAGGGGGGGGGAGCACTAGAAGAAGGTATGTCAGAAATTTTATGATGAATGACAAACAATTGCAATTCATTGTGGCAGAGTAAAACAAACTTTGCTGTGTGCAGAAGATATTTTCAGCAAATGCATAATGAATTTGATTAGCATCTTCCTCTCAAGAGTCAAAAAAGAATCAATGAAATTAGCAGCTGAAATCCAAATTAAATATTCAACAAAAAATGTACACAAATTTTTAAAAGAACCTGTGCTTGTAACTTTGGTTAGCTTTCAAATGGCTTGGATTCTACACACACACACACACACACACACACACACACTTGGATTCTACACACACACACACACACACACACACAAAGAAAATCATTTTAGATGGAAACGTGGTAAAAGAAGTTATTTTGAGGAAAAGACTAAAAAAATTTTTACAAAAAGTGAACAATTTTTAGTTAGGCCAGTTAAGTAATTGCCCATAGAGTACAAAACATTTCTAACAATATTAAAGATTTATTCAAAACTTGAAAATTAAAGAAAAATTTCATTTTAGATGAGGGGTCTGACAGAAGAGATGCTGCCCAATTAATATTTTGGGTATGTTTCCCTTAAAGGATTTACAAATATATGAAAAAACATTGTCAAACTGCAGCCTACAAAATATCAAACTCATTGTGTAGTTAGTTTTCAGTCTTTTACAGCCATCAAAGAAGAGTTTCACCTACATGATTTGAAAAATCAGTTTCTATCACAACAAACGGTACTCCAGCTAGGTTGAGTTAAAATTGGATTTACTGGGATTTTTAAAAAGACTGATGTTTCCTTTACTGCTTCATTCTACTGTCTGATACATATTGGACACCTCTGCACTCAGTTTTCTGATACCCACTCCATGGAAAGTATCATGGACACAGCTGTTAAAATGGCTCAGAATACAGTTGCAAATACAGAACTGCTGCGAGAAACAGAAGACAATGTTTTATGATGCTGCGCTCCTCACCAAGGATAGTGAGGTGGAGAGTTTTGCAAAGATTCAGTGTACAGTTAACTCCAATTCAGGCTTTCTTGAAATAAAAGGAATGCTTGCCAAATCATTATTTTCAGTAATTCATATTTCACTCAATAATCAAAGATTATAAATGGCAGTAATTCTCACACGGTTATAACAAGCTAATTTTAAAGCTCTGATGAAGGGAAAAGGAGACCTTATTTATGACCTAGCCAGGCAGGTATGAAAATTTATGTTCCAATTTTATAATACAAGTCCATAATAATGATTTTACATATTTTGTATAACATATTAATGCAGAAGATTTTAATTGTAACAGAGAGCAAATTGGCTGCAGAAACTAAGGAAAATTTTGAAGAATACTTGGTTGATGTTAATAAATTTAGTTTCTTTTTGACTTATTCAATACTCTTTTGAATTCGATAATAGTACCACTGAGTTGACCAAGAGTTGGTGGATTTACTTAAATTGGATGAAGTTTTGAAAATGATATGCTTCTGCTATAAAGCCAAATCAATTCTTCTAATAAAATGAACCTGTTTTGTCAATGTGCATGTGATTATTAAAGGAAAATGGATTTTGGTATTCAATTCAGTTATTGAAAAATTTTTACATAGGTGGGAACAACTTGGGCATATAAATCTTTTAAGCATAAATTTTTATGAAACCTAAATACAGAACAAAGGGTTTCCAATGAAAATTTGGTGTCTAAATTAAGATATGCTATAAATATAAAATACACACTAGATTTTGAAGACTCAGAATTTTTTTAAAAATCTGATATATATATATATAACTTGTTTATATTAATGACATGTCAAAATGATATGTTTATTTGGATAAATAAAATATATCATTAAAATAAATTTCACATGTTTCTCTGTACTGATTTTACTGTGGCTACTAGGAAATTTAAAATCACACATGTGGTTAGCTTTCTACTCTGTTGGACAGCGCTGGCCTACAGGATAACCTTAATTTGAAAGCCTTCATTTCCTGTACAAAACCAAGACCAGTTTCTACAGAACTCCCTTGCGTTTGTACCACTTCCTCATAAGCTTATATGGAAAGAAATCGTGAATGGAGGTTTATTTACATCTACAATGGAGAAATGCTCTTGAGAGGAAAAGAGTCTCCAACCTGAGCCAGAAGAAACACCCTCAGGTCTCTGAGTCCATGGCCTCCACCTTGGTGAATTTCTGACCCTTCCTGAAGTGACAGCAGGAAGGTGCCTGCCGTACAGGGTCCCGAGGAGGGTCTTTTCAGAACCTCTGGCGGACGCCCAGTCAGCTCGCCCATGGCCCCTTGTGCGCAGACTAGAGCTGTCCTTGCCCAGCACTAACTGTCATGGCCCTGGGCAATCCAGCTGCCCTCTGTGAGCTGCCATTTAATGTGACTTATGTTTTTTTTAACTTTCTGAGCCATTTTGAGCCATGCATAATTATGGGAAGAAGACAAAATGACAAAGGGAACCATCACCATCAGGAATTACTACAGTCCCTCTCAGGATACCTGAGATATTAAAGTACATTTGTGAAGGTGAGGACAACCCCAGCCTGCATAAGTCAAGACATCACAGACTGTGTCACATGCCACCAAGGGGCAAAGAGCAGGTGTGAGGTATGATCACACCCATCCCCACTGTACAGATGGGACCCTGGAGTCAGCAAGGCTCTGTCCAAGGTGCCAGAGATCAGGCACCTACTCAGACCTCCAGTCCCGTACTCACTCAACCTCAGTATGGCTGCTAAACATGCAAGTACGTAGGATATATTTTATAGCATTCTCTGTTCCTACTTATAAAAGTGAAATTCTACTTTTACCTTTACAGAAAAAAAAAATCACAGTAGGAAAAGACTGAATAAACATTTTAGAATAATCTCTGAATGAATAATCTGGATAAACAATCATGCCTCCTTTCTAGTTGTAGTGAAAAAAAACTTCTGCACTGAATATGTATATAATAAATATGTAATCAGAAGACTTCAGAAAGCCTTGGTCTCCTTTAGGAGTAGCTGGCAAATCAGGAAAATCCATTACTGAGAGAAGTGGTCCAAAGTCGCTGGGGCCAGTGAGTCTGAGCCAAAAGGGAGACATATTCCTCTGAACACTCCACCTTGTAAATGTCTAGGGTCCAGAAAGAAATGTGAGTGGGGAAAGAGCAGGTACACTGAGTCATGTCTTCCAGAGTCTCCTCCCCAGAATGATTGGTTTGACTGCACGCACACCTTCAGTAGTGGGGAAAACAATGGAGGCCTGCGATAGCCCTGATTTTAGGGGCCATACCCACCTTCTCTTCAAAGATAACAATAGCAGTGATTATCGTAATAACAGTAATAACAATAAGAACTTTCACTTATATAGTGTGAACTTCCTACCAGGCAGGCGTTATTCAAAGCCTTCACATAAATTAATTCAGTCCCAACAACAACCCCGAGGCACTTATTAATATTCCCATTTTACAGAGAAGGACACAAAGGCAAAGAGTCAAATGCTCACTATGAACCCCTGTGCCCCATACTTCACATGCATCACCTTATTCCATCCTTATAACCACTTGTGAGGGACAGACTGGGGCTTAGAGGGATGAGGAAATTTGCCTAAACCAATAAGAGGAAGAGCTGGGATTACAAGATCAGCAGATAATATTGCTTCTCTGTCTGAGGATACTGTTCTCATGACACCTGTCATAACCCAACTTCGTGGAGAGAGAGGCAGTGTAGCAGATGCGGTAATGCCTTGCCAGGTGTCCCTTCTGAGGGGGACTCTGCCTGCTGTGAGAGTGGCTGCCAAGGACTTAAGCATGCCCCTCCTCCAGGGACCAGCTGGGCCCAGAAATGTGCCACTTCTCACCACAGCCAGTGGATGACACACGCTGGAGTGCAAAATACATCCTCGATACATCACTCGCACAAGAAACCCGTCCCAGGCTCTGCTTTGGGAGCCTGATCTCAGAGACAGACAGGCTTTGTCGAGGGCTAGATGGCAGAGCTCTGGACTGCAATCAAAGTAGCTTAGAGGACGCTCCCAAACTGATATGTGTTGGCTTTTTAAATAAAAATATTTTTGCCCTTTAGAAATAACCCCGCTTTTTTCCTTAAGTGCTTCACAATGAAAGCTAACACCATTTATGTTTAAAAAAAAAAAGAAATCAAGAACAGGTTTTAAAGAACACTTACTTCACTAAAGAAGCTTTGCGACACAATTTGTCAGCCCCCCTGTAGTAATTCACCAACTGCACCAGCCCAGGCTCGTGACCTGTGAAGGAAAGGGAGGCTCAGAAGAGGGCCGAGGCCGGGTGGCACCCGGCACAGGAGAGGCAACAGCTGTGTCATGCCCAGCTTTCTCTCTCCCTTGCAGGACTGGTGGGTAGAAAGGAAATAACTTATTGCCCTGCACCTGTACCGCCCCTTGCCTCAGCATCCCACGGGCACACTCAGCCTTCCCATAGTGGATGTTATAATATCAACATCATAGAGCTGCCTGAGGCCAGGCTGCCTTTGTGTGCTCCTTTTTTTAAAAAAAAAAAATTTCATTTATTTTTAGAGAGAGGGGAGAGGGGAAGGGAGGGAGATAGAGAGGGAGAGAAACATGGATGTGTGAGATACATCAATCAGTTAGTTGTCTCTTGCAGGCCCCCAACCTGGGACTTTGCCTGCAACCAGGGACCTGGCCCACAACCCAGGCGTGTGCCCTGACTGGGAATCGAACTGGCGACCCTTCGGTTCAGCACTCAATCCACTAAGCCACATCAGCCAGAGCTGTGTGTTCTTAAGGTGAAGGGCTACTTCCTATTTCACCTCTCTTGGATCCCCATCACACCCCTTCCTGGCTTAAAACACTGACTTGTGAGTTTTCTCGGTACAATCAGGACTTCAGCGGAGTCATGCTCTGGCCTCCCGAGCCTTGTTCCCTACAGCCATCAGGGAAGGCAGCAGAATTGATGCTCCTTGTTCTCCGGCATATTTGCCTTTGCAGGCTTGCAAGAAAGCCACCAGAAGGCAAAGGAAGGCAGTGAACTTTCTTCTGTGCATTGCCCCACAAGGAAACTCATTTCCAATAGTTCTTATGGCAAGTCCCCTCCATAAAATTAGAATAGGAAAGAGACAAATAAAAACAAAAGTCTAAATTTTTGTTTAAAATCCTAACAAAATGCATTAAATTGCCAGCAACAAAAACACAAAGCCAAACAAAGGGAGTTTGAGTTGAGGCTGCCAGAGGTAAGAATAATTGACTTCAGAAGGGTAGACAATCAGATACAAAGTTTCAGGCACTACCTCGCTGTCACCAGCTTCCTGGCTCACACCTGGGCTGCCCACCTTCTCACCCAAGGCCCTGGCATCCTGAGCCTTTACCTGAGTTCTCTTTGGGATTTCCAAGGAACACGTTAAGCAAACGGAAATATGTATGCAGTGAAGGCATGAAACTATTTTGGTTGTGGGATGCTGCTTCCCTTCCCACAAAACACCAAATGTTTACTGCTCATCGACCGGCTCTGTGGGGCCCGTTTAGGTTTGGACCTGCCAGCAGTTTCTGCACCTTCTTCCCAGTCCTGAGCACCGCAGCAATGCCGTCTACCCTGCTCCATCCCCGGCAGAGCCATTTCTCTGTTTTCCATGCTAGCATGCCATCTAAGCTTTTACAGCCAGGCACTGCAAAGAGGAAGGAAGTCAGGCCGGCTGGGAAGTGGACAGAGCAAGGAGGAAACAAACATTCCCAATTGCAAGCAGATTTTCTTCTTTGGGGGAAGGTGCTCTCTGTGGAGAGGGTTTCTTGGGAAGACAGCTAACAAAAGGGGATCTCAGGCAAATTCTCCACATTCAAGATTTCTGGGGGGTTAGAAGCAACCCCACCATGCACCATAACCTTGTATAATCACAAAAAGTGGTTCATGGTACGATTCCAAAGAAAAGATTCCGGTAAGGCTGTGCTGCCACACCCTTCATGCCCCAAACCGTCCGATTGCGGCTCTAAGCTCACAGTAGCCGGTTGGTTTTCAGTCTCTGCCCCTTCAACCTCCTCACCTCTGACCACACCTATTTCTAGAAACTGTTTCCTCCCTGGGACACAGAACACTGCTCTGTCTGGTTGCCTTCCAAGGCACAGATGGCTTTTCTTCATTATCGATTCTCTGCTTGGGTTTTTGGCCTATGATTTGGCCCCCACCCCAGGGAATTTGGGCAGAGAACATGGCTCTCAGGGCAGAGGCTGCACATCCTGGTGACTGCTGTGAGGAGACACCACGAGGCTACACGCAGGTCAGTGGGATGTGAGTTGACGCCCCTGCACAACTTCTGGATTACGTCATCTAAAGAGGAGTGTGGGTGGTCCAGACCCCCACCGCCTTCCCACAGAAGGCTATGCGCACCTGGCAGTGCCAAGCCAGCTCCATCCATGTGAAAGAAGCAGAGCAGAGGGTCTTCGTGTGAAACCTGCATGCAACGCCCCACTGTGAACCCAAAATTGTGAACACATTTTCTTTGGTAAAGCTAAAGAATGGTCTGAAATCACTAGTCCCTAGCCCTTTCGAACCTTCTGCTTTTGGAATCCAGGTCTTTCCCAAATCCTCTGGCGGTTTATCTGAGACTTGGGGAAGCTGAATCCTCGGGGTTTTCACCATACACAAGTGCCCCTCCTGCGCCCACAGGAGGCCGGGAGCAATCCTCCAGCCAGATGTCACCCCGGCTCCGTAGAGCCTCCCGGCCCTGCGCTCAGCCTGCGGACCTGCCCGAGGGGGCGTTGGCCAGGCGAGGGGGGCATCAGGCCTGGGAAAAGGGATGTGGGAAGGGGGCGCGCGGCCGGGGAATGGGGGACGTCGGACCTGGTATGGAAGGGCGCAGGGTCTTGGGATTGGGGGCGGGGCGAGGGGTGTCCGACCCGAGGATGGGGGCGTCGGCCCGGAGGAAGTGGGGTCGGGCGGCCTTTGCCCTCTGGGTTGCAGGACGGGACATTGTCCTCGCGGTGACTCAGGTCCGAATCGATTCCGAAGACAAGAGACATTAAGAACGATGGTTTAGACCTTTAGGGATCCGTGTCTTATCTGCCCGAGGAGTGACGGAGGAAAGATCTGTGGCCTTAACACAAAAGCGCTGCTCTAGCGGGCTCCAGGGGCGGGGTGCGGGCAGGAACGGGCACGCTCACCCAGTCTTCCGAAGGGCAGCCGGTTCCGCTCTCCCAGCATCAGGTTGAACCTGGGGTTGTCCCGCCGCAGCCTCTTCCAGTGGCCGGAGGCGACCAGCAGCCGGGAGACCTCGGCGTAGACACTGCTGTTCTCGTCGCGAACCACGAAGGTGAACATGGCTAGGCCGCCTGCGCCGGGCGCGGGGACCAGACCAGTGGCTCCTGGTGGAACCCGCCGCCGGCGCCGTGCAGAGGCCCGGGTCCCCGCCCCGTCACCAGGGTCTCCGCCCTGCGCCCAGGACGCGGGACTCCGACCACGCCCCGCCTCCGCGCGCCCTCGTTTTCCCCGGTTCCCGTTCCGCCGCGTCCCCGCCCCCGCGCGGTCTTAATTCCCCAGGGCCCCGGTGCAAAGGCCCTGGTCACCGCGTCCCCGCCCAGCACACAGGCCCCCTCCCCTTGCACAGACCCGCGCCCCGCCCCCGCACGTCACCAGAGTCCCCGCCCCGCGTCCTGTCCGGCCCCCCGAATGTAAAGAGTCCCCGCCCGCGCGGCCCCGCCCCCACCCAGTGACACCTCACAGCTGCCGCAGTGGCCGGACGCTCGGGCTGCAAGAGGCGTGGGAGGTTCCCTGGAGAGAGGCACGGGCCTGGGCCAAGCACCCCCAAGCCCAGGGTCACAGACGGCGGGGGTGGGGGTGCAAACAGAAGAATTTTTCACCTACTATTTTAAAGGGGCGTTTTGTGGTTAAAACCAAAAATTTTGAGGCCCCAGACTGAGTCCAAGATGCGCTTCCTTTTTTTTTCCTGCTTTAGGACCACGGACAACCCGTGGAGCGTTCTGGCGGTTGTGGTTCATTGGGGTCGAGGCTCTTTCCATCGGCTGAGACCCCCTGGGTGGACGTTAGGTCTCTCTAGAGGACTGGATTCTGTACCAGTCCCAGGAGCCCGCGGCAGACAGGCGTTGGGCTGTCACTTTCCCTTCTTCGGACCTTGATTTCCCCTTCTGAGTGAGAAGCTGGTTTATTATTTTTTAAATTTATTTATTTTTATTGTTGACTCTATTACAGATGTCCCCCATTTTTCCCAACTTAGCCCTACTAAAACCAGCCCCTTTACCACATTGTTGTCTGTGTCCATGGGCATATGCATATATGTTCTTTGGCTAATTTCTTCCAGCACCTCCCCCCCCCCAACACCCTCCCTTATGAGCTCTGTCCATCTGTCCCATGTATCCATGCCCCTGCTTTTATTTTATTTTGTTCGTCAGTGGTTCTTTAAAGTCCCTCCAAATTTTTGGTGCATTTGAGAGACAGAGAAACTTTCTACCCTCCCTCATGCATCAATCATCCACATCAGGCAGGAGCCTCACCTCTTTACTCTTTATAGAAAAAAAACAGAACACTCCAGTACCCCTCCGTGTGGTCCTGAGCCTCCTGCATGCAGGTATCTAACCTCAAATATTGTAAAGGCTCCCTTCTGTCTCCCATTTCTGCCTGTGTTTCCTGGGGTGGGAAGGTGTCAGCTTTGCACAGGAGCTTCCAGCTCCGCCACCAGATGAAGACGTACAGTGGCTGTGGGGAACTTCTTGGAGAAGAAACAGGAACGGCTCAGAAGTGGCTTACGTGCTCCAGCTGGGCAGCCCCTTCATCCAGCAGAGATAAGAGCTGGGAGACAGTGCCCCGCTTCCTCTCCTCTTCAGTGGGTCTGTGGGAACTAGGCTGGGCCCAACTGGACTACTCCATCTCTTTTGCCATTGTGATTGGTTTAACATAGAAAAGTGATCCAAATCTGGCCAACCTGATTTTCTTTGGAATTGTTCTACCAGAGCTGTGGAGAGAAACTTGTTTTTCTTTCCCAACTGGAATTGCTTAGCTGGAAGATTGTCGGGGACAGCCTTCAGCTCTTTTGAAATCTTACAGAGGGAAGACCCTGTAAGAATTCAGCTTGCCATCCCTTCTGCATTAGGTCCGGCCATGTGGGCATGTATGTTCTTCTCAACAGTACATAAACAAAGTGATGTGCATCTCTTCCTGGTCTTGACATTAGAATTTGAGCATGCCTTTTCCTTCTCTTGGAGGCAGGACATACAACCAATAACAATAGTGGAAACAAAAGATGTAAGAAATTTACCAAGACTCATTTTATGCTGGGTCACAAAAAAAGCTATAACAAATTTCAAAGGATTGAAATAATTTTGAATACTTTCTCTGAACTCAGTGGAGTTAAGCTGCTTGGAAATTAAGTAATACACTTCTTTAAACTGAGATATACTTGACATATTTCATTATATTTGGTTAAGGTGTACAACATGTTGATTGACTAACGAAAACTGTGCAATTCCTACACTGAACACTACAAAATGTAATAGTGAAAAGTTATTTTGTGCTCACTATTAAAGCACAAAATAATGGAAGACTATGCCATGTTCATAATGGGAAGACTCAGAATTGTTAAGCTGCCAACTGTTGCCCAATGCAATCCCAAACAAAATGTCTGCAGACTATTTGTGGAAATTGACATGGCAATTCAAAAGTTATACAGAAATGCAAAGGACCAAGAATAGCAAAGGCATTCTTGAAGAAGAAAGTTGGAGGACTTACACTACCCGATATCAAGGCCTATAAAATATAGTATTTAACTACAAAGCTATAGTAAGTGAGAAAGTATGGTTTCGGCACAAGGAGAAACAAATAGACCAATGAAAAGAGACCTACGTATATAGTCATTTGGTTCATAATAGAGGTGACATTAATGAGAGAAGGACTTTTTGATAAATGGAGCTGGGACAATGGATATCCATTGTAAGACAAATTAATCTTAACCTCTACCACACACAAAATGAGTGGCATTCATTGTAATCTAATGCCTCTAAATGTGAAAGGCAAAGCAACAAAGCTTTTAAGAGAAAACAGGAGAAAAACCTTTATGATCTTATACTAGGTCAATATTTGTTAAAAAGAACACAAAAATCTCTAGGAATAAAGGGAAAAACTGATAAATAGACAACTTCAAAATTAAGAACTTCCACTTATCGAAAGATGCCATCAAGAGAATAAAAAGGAGCACTCACCTCTGTGGGTCGGTCAGGCATTGTCCTGCAAAGCAAAAGGTCACCAGTTCAATTCCCCATGAGGGCACATGCCTGGGTTGTAGGCCAGGTCCCCAGCTGGGGATTGGGGCATGTGCCAGAGGTGACTGATGGATGTTTCTCTCTCACATCGATGTTTTTCTCCCTCTCTTTCTCCCTCCCTTCCCCTCTCTCTAAAAATAAATAAAATCTTAAAAATAAAAGTTAAAAACCAAGCCAATAGGCTGCTGAATAAAATGTCTATCTTCCTACCTTACAAATACATGTTTAAAAGGATGAACCCGGAAGCCAGGAACTTTAGAATTCTCAGACTATGAGAGAGTCCATGCCTGAACCTGGTAATACTGGGAGACATGGCCCCAGCCTCTGCTTAGGGCTCACCCCCAGTTTCTTCCCTCCTCTGACACCATCCTGCACTGTGAGAGGCCATGCATGCCTGCATGGGGACACTACAGCCAGAAAGCTCAACCCACAAACGGCTGCTCTTTGGCTGCCACCCAGGCCCAAGGGTGCACACACCAGCAATGCCATTGACCCTTGGAGAATGGGCCTAGGGACGAAGCCTGTGCAGCCCAAGACATTGACTGGGCTATTTAGGTGATGAACTCTGGTTCTCAGATACCTAGCATAGTCTAGAAACGGGAGACTCAGTCCTCAATGTCCAAACATCTCGCCTGTGGGGAAGGTCACAGCTAGGTCAGGGCCAGACTGGGAGCCTCTAAAGCCAGGGCCTTTCTCACATGAGCCCAAGGGTCATGCTCCTAAGAAACAACTTTCAGAATCCTCATCTCCCCTCTCCTCTCATTCTGCTCTTTGTGTCCTATACTTGGACACCAAAACAACCCCAATTTGTCTTTCCCTCATGGTCTCTGACATCACCATGATCACTTCAGGCCTCCCAGCTCTTCTTGCTGTAGCCCCTTTACCTCTCCAGTCTTTGTGGACATTATGACCAAATTAATCTTTTCAAAACACAGTAGTCATCACATCTATCCATACATCAAAATGGCCACGGTTACAGAAGCAGAGTCCTCAATTTCAAATTCACTGCCTTCCGTTGAATCTTCTTCCCACTGTGTTCTCCTGCCACACTGACCACACTCTTTCATCCAAAGTCTTAGAATTGCCCTGCTCATCATCAAAGTCAAATGAAAGCCTAGGGGATGTAGTTTTGAAAGTGTATTAACCCTTTCCAAACTGATAAACCATGTCCCAGATGGATCATGTGGTCCCTAGTAATTAAAACCTTTAATTAGCCAGCAATTTCTATCTCACAATCGTGCAGAATAAAATACAACTTACTCCTTCTTTAGCTTGAGGTTTTGATTGCTCTTTAGCACTTTGGAGGTGGAACTGCCTCACCCTTCAACAGAGCCGTTGAGCCCCTCCCTGAGGAAGAGTGCCCGCTCCAGGGAGCTGTCCAGGTCAAAGGGCTTGGCGGCTCAGTTCTGTATTTCAGCTTCTCACATAAGGCCTGTCCATGATGGGTACAACTTTTTGAAGAAAAAGAAAAGGTTCTATTTGTGAACAGTGAAGAGATTTTTAAAAATATAATCAGGGAGTTAAACAGTAAAATGAAAAGCTCTCACACAAAGAAAAAGTTTAATTGAAAATGCTTCTTCTGACCTGACTGGTATGGCTCAGTGGGTTGGGTGTCATCCTGCAAACCTAAAGGTTCACCAGTTCAATTCCTGGTCAGGGCACATTCCTGGGTTGGGGGCCGGGTCTCAGGTAGGGGGCGTGAGAAAGGTAATCGGTCATGCTTCTCTCTCTCCCTTCCCCTCTCTCTAAACATAAATAAAATCTTTAAAAAAAAAAACCAGAAAAGAAAGAAAATGCTCCTTCTGCCTTTCTCTGACAGACTGGTTTCAGCAGGCTCTTCTTGCGCATGATGCTGTACAAACGTTTATGGACAATGTAGGTCTTTTTCTTGTGAGGTTTCTCCATCAGCCTTCCCATTCCAATTTATACATTCCAGTGCTGCTCTTTCTTCCACAGAAGTGGATTTGGGTCTGAGTTGAAAAACCAGTTTTCCCTCCTGTGTTTCTTTCTCCTGTGAGCCTGCCTCCTTTACTACTCACCAAGAAAACCTCGCTTTGACACCAAGAGTTGGGGGATTTTCCCCACCATC